CCACCCCCCAGGAACAGAATATCATAATATATAGTTGAGCTCTTTTCCTTTTGTGTGACCTACATACTTGGAGTTGGAGCGGGAATTACAAAAAAAATAAATAAAATTTAAGTAAGTGTTTTACGGTGCTCGCAACTGCATAATGTCATATGAGCACGCGGGGCACATCAAACTCAAGCATTTTCAGATGGTAGGAAATTTTGAATTTTGCTCGTGTGGAGGCCGAAGCATACTCTCATTAATTCTTTGGACCACCAAGGGATCTTTAAAGTGAACAACTTGCACACGGGACCTCCGAGATTTTTCGCCCTTATCCAAGAAGGCTAGGTGTAGATCTTTCATACCATAAGTGCAGGGGTGTGGCAGAAAGACAGCAGTAAGGAGGAGCCAAGGAGTAGCAGTAGAAAGGCAGCAGAAAGAGCCAGGAGCCCAGAGGAGGGGGCAAAGGAGGTGAGGGGGCGGGGGCAGAGCGTTGACGCGAAAGCAGACGACAGAACATTGCTAGAGAGTAGGAAAGGATATGAAAGGAGACAATCTTAGAGAGACAATCTTAGAGAATAAAAATTCCGTCGCTACCCAGGTTCGAACCCGGGACCTTTGAATGAGAGGCGAACACCTTAACCTCTAGGGCACGAGAGCCCCCCCCCCCGTGGGAAATATATAGTCGCCGACTCTAACTCTGTGGCAGTTGGGCTCGCAGCCAAAAGTTCGAGTTGTTCGAACCTCGTCTAGACATGAAGTCCTTGGGAAAGGTACCTCGCACATTGTTATTTGTGGGGCAGCGTGGTGGAATCAGGCTCTCGTCAATTTTTGGGCTTGTAGAGTTATTGGTGTCATCTTAAAGCTTTTTCACTTGTCTTTATTTGTATGTGAAAAGTATCCATTTATCTTGAATACAAGTCGAGATATTTGCCAAAGAAGGAGGTGGGGGTCACCGGTTTTCAGAGATAAAATTAGAGAGAAAATGGCCACCAAAAAGTAGTTATTTCCTTAGCTTAACAGTCCAAGGTAACTGAAAATTTACATTTTTGTGTCTTTAATCAACGTTTTTCAGAAAAATCCACACAGAAATTAGTTCTTTAAAGGGCATGAAAGGTGTTGAGTCAAAAAACAAAAATTTGATAAAAATTCACAAACCTGCGGAAAAATGCCGGTTTCTTCACTTTGATTATTTTGACGAGAGCCGGATTTTATCCATGCCGACTCACATGTGTTTTACTTCAACTACTCAAAATGTCGAATAAGCCCCC